TGCTGTGGATCAACACTGGACTGGAGGACTAGAGTCTTGTTTTGTGCGCATGAATTACTAAAGTGTTCATAGGCTGGGTGGGGGAGGGGAGCTCCCCGGGATGGCAGGGCGCCAGGGTAGAAGTGTCTGCCCAGGAGGGGCTGGGGCAGGGCCGGAGGGGTCAGAGCTCTGGGGCCGATCAAGGGAAAGCGGAAGTGGAAAATGCTCCAGCACAAAATCGAGAAGAGGGTGGTGAAGATGAGAGCAGATATGTTCACAATAGACAAAGGGACAACCTTTGAGACTTGCGTAGTATAAATTTAGAGCAATTAAAAGGAAGTGTTGTTTTATATGGAAAGTAATAAACGTATTCATTCAGCAAACACAGGAGGCCTGACTCTGTCTCGGCAGGTGCTAGGTGCTCTGGATGAGGCATGATGAATAAGCCAGTTTATGGTCAAGTTTATCAGATGGAACCATGGGAACAGGGCAGGAAGGACTACAACCCAAGTGGGTGTTGGAGCTCTGAGAAGGGCCAATGATGGAGGAGTGCAGGAGGGGCCTCAGAGGCTGCTTCTATCCCCCTGCTTTTTGGGGAGACCACAGGGAGAGGAGGTGGCATTGCAGGTTGGTAGCTGTTGAGGAGTTGGGCCAGAAGGAAGCATTTCTTTTTTTTTATTTAAGATTTTATTTATTTATTTGCCAGAGAGAGAGAGAGAGAGAGAGAGAGAGAGAGCACAAGCAGGGAGAGTGGCAGGCAGAGAGAGAGGGTGATGTGGGGCTCAATCCCAGGACCCCAGGATCATGACCTGAGCCAAAGGCAGATGCTTCACTGACTGAGCCACCCAGGGGCCCCCAGAAGGAATTATTAACAGTTACTCAAAGGCCTTAGATCAATTCAGAACCGAAAAAGCCATACCAAACTATGGAGAGAATTGGAATATTGATAGGTGTGTGCAACGGGAGGGGAGAGAGTCAAGGTGGCCTGGACTGGCCTCAGCTCTACAGCCACTCTGCCAAGCTGGAATGGCCTTACAGAAGAGGAGACATGCCCAAGTCACTGAGCACATGCGAAGCGGGGCTGAAAGTGTACCAGGGACTGGCGGGCCAAAGCACATCCCAGTGGCCCCCACACTGCTTCTCTTATAGAATATTCTAGAGTGAACATTGTGGGCAGGCATCGCTGATCCACATTTTCCAGGGAGAAATGGAAGTTCAGAGAGGTTAACCGCACGAGAGCCTTTGGTTGTGCGGTGGCTGATCCTGGAGGTGCACTTGGGCTCCACTCGCACCCCAGCCTTTGGGGCTTCTCCTGGGGACCTCATTGACTGAGTCCCCCACAAGCACAAATGTGTTTTGGAGGTGGCGGGAGGAAACAGCCTTATCTCACTGTGGTGGTCTTCAGACTTGCTTTCTAGAGCTTTTCCCCAAGGATGCCACCAAGTGCAAGACTTGTCCAGCAAACTGGCTACCTTACTCCAATGCTTATCTTTTCAAGAAAAATCCAAATGCACATATTGTGAAGAAGCAATAAAAACTATCAACAGGGCAGGAAAGTAGCAAATTTTGCTGGTTTGGTAGGAGAGCTGGTGTCTTTGATGATGAATATGTGGCCTCAACACAGGCAAATCCAGTTGATCCTTGAACAACAGAGGGGTTAGGGGTGCCCACCCCCTGCTGTCGAAAATCCACATGTAACTCTTGATTCCCCCAAAACGTGTCTACTCATAGCCTTACTGTTGACCAGAAGCCTTACCGAGAACATAAACGGTCAATTGACACATATTTTTGGCTGTCATATGGTTTATATACCATATCCCTACAATAAAGTAAGCTAGAGAAAACAAAATGTGATGAAGGTAATCATAAGGAAGAGAAAATACATTTACAGTGCTGTTCTGTAAAAAATCCGCAAACAAGCGGACCCGCACAATTCAAACCTATGTTATTCAAGGTCAACCTTAGATCATTTTTCTTAAGCATTTTGACTGCATTTTCTTAAGCTGGGAATCCCAGCTTGGGAATCATTAACCATGAGTGATTTCCCCTGTGTTTCCTGAGGTTTGGAGTACACCTAATCATTTATTTTTATGGCATATATGTTTTAAACGTTATAACATGAAAGCGTATTTGTTGTAGAACATTGAGAAAATATAGACAAACTGAAGGAAGAAAATTTCGCTTAACCTTACCGCTCAGAGCAACATTGTGAGCATTTTCGTCTATTTCTGAATATGTGTTTAGATTTATTCTATGGGCAATGTACTGTTTTAAATTTTATTTATTTTAGAGAGAAAGAGAAAGAGAGCATGTGAGCAGGGGGAGGAGCAGAGGGAGAGAATCTCAAGCAGATTCACTGAGTGCAGAGCCTGACTCAAGGCTTGAGACCCTGAGATCACGACCTGAGCGGAAGTCAGACGCTTAACTGACTGACCCACCCAGGCACCCCTAGTTAGTATATGTTTTAATGACAGATCAATATTCCATTCTATGGAAGATCATAGTCCTCTAACCAGTCTCTTATGCTTCTATTCTTGGATACTTTTAGCCTATTTTTCATTATAATAAATAATGACATAATAAACATTCTTGTATGAAAACTTAAAAAATCTGCATCAGGTTACTTTATTTTATTTTTTTATTTTTATTTTTTTTAAAGATTTTATTTATTTATTTGAGAGGCAGAATGAGATAGAGAGCATGAGAGGGGGGAGGGTCAGAGGGAGAGCAGACTCCCCTGCTGAGCAGGGAGCCTGATGCGGGACTCGATCCCAGGACTCCAGGATCATGACCTGAGCCAAGGGCAGTTGCTTAACCAACTGAGCCACCCGGGTGCCCCAGGTTACTTTATTTTAGAATCAGCATCTAGAAATGGAATTATTAAGGATGGTAGGAATCTGCCGATGGTCCCTCGTGCGTGTTTTCAAATTCTCCTTTGGAAATCTGATACCAAGTGTAGTCCATGGGCATCCTATGCAAATGCCCCAACCAACACCTGCTATCATTATCATTTAATAGCACAGAGGGGGTGCAATTTGGTAGGTAAAAATAAATAGCATCTTGCTTGTTTTGAATTTCTTTGCTTACTGGTGAAGTTTTTGTTGTTGTTGTTGTTGTTTTTACTTTTGTTGTAGGCTTGTTGACCTTTTGGGTTGCTTTCCTTGGAGAATGGCTGTGATTTTCTTTTGCTAGCTTCCTAGGGGAGCATCCCTGACCCTGGAGGTTGACTTTGGGAAGGACAGCCTCACCTGCCTTGCCATATCCTTTGGGAATACCTTCTTCACTAGAATCCTGGTCTAGGAGGGGTCTGAAGCTCTTCACCCAGGGCACTGTTCAGGGCACTGTTTCCTTGTGCCTTCCAGGAGTGAGTGAAAGCCTTGGGGAACAGAAGGGGTTGCCTGTGGGGAGGTGGGAGGTGCGACAGAGCCTTTACCTTGGGGATCCCTCTTAGACAATGTCCTCTCCTCTTCCTCTTCCTCTTCCTCCTCCTCCTCCTCCTCCTCCTCCTTCTTCTCCACCTCCTCCTCCTCCAACTCCTTCTTCTTCTCCTTCTTCTTTTTAGGGCTCTCTGCTTCTAAGGCACAGTTGGGACCATGACCTTTTCTGGACGTTCTTCATTGCCCCTCAGCTGAGTCCAGAGCTGGCCTCACACCCGCTTCACTAGCCTCTCTGCCCCACTTGTCTCTCTACCCTCTTGGATTCTAGCCTACTAGCTGGTGAACTTAGAGAGAATATACCCTTGGAACTCCAGTGAATGTGTGAGACAGAAACAGTAATGCCTGCCTCATAGGATAACATTAAAACATTAGGGAAAAGAGTCTGGTTGACTTTTCAGTTTTCATTCACTCATTTACTTCAGAAGTGCTCACTGGGCACCTGTCTGGGTCTCTGCAGCCACGGAGGCTCTGCTCTGGGTGGGAAGGGGGCTGTCAGCAGATTGTGTAGCCTGTTCCCTACACAACCACTGACTTAACAATTGAGATAAGGCTAGTATGGGATGCTGATAGGCAGCCAATAAACGCCAGCCCTCCCCACCCCTATTCATTCTTTGTGATTCAGTTAAAGACATGACCATAAACTGCCTTTAAGAGCCTGTTCACAACAAACACAGTCTACTTTTATAACTTAAAAAGTCCAGTAAAATGTATAATGCCTAAATCCACAAAACTCTTTTTAAAGAAGGGGAAACAGCAGCTCAGATCTTACTTTCTGGCTGTTCCCTTCCTCCCCACACCCTCTGCTGGGGTCCCTCCCACCTCCCTTCATGTGGACCTCGACCACCCCCACCTTGCACTGGAGGGGCCAGGAGTCCCAGCAAAGGCAGGGGGCTGAGTGGTCAACCATCCCAAGGGCCAGCACGGTCTCAGCAGTTACAAGGACAAGGGCGGGGCAGAGCTGAGAAGTGGCTTTTCCATGGGCACATGAAGGCAGGGAGGCTGAGGACTGTGGTCACCTCCGGGTGAGATACAAAGGGGGCTTCAGAGATGTGAGTAGAGGAGGCACCCTCTGAGACCAGGAGGGCAGATTGGGCCATCACTCAAGGAAAGGATGAAAGGAAAGAGAAGGCAGCTCTGAGGTCCTATGGCCAGGACTGGGTTTACACTGAGCCCTGCCACTCTCTGCTTTGTGTTGACCAGAGCCCCTCAGTGCTGCCTCTCTCTGATCCTCCTCATACCCACGACTCAGGGATGCCCCCCCATCTTGGCAGCCTCCCCAGCTCAGCCCCTCTACTCCCACCATTCCAAATTAGAAAAAACCTAACTCAGAGGAGAGAGGATTGGGCAAAACAATCGTATCTACTGACTTAAAAAACAGCCAAGCAATTTTTTTCAATCTTTCTCATCAAATGTAGAATTCCAAAAGTCTTAGGCGTTATTACACCTTTGACCTGAACTCATTGATTAGTGATTTGATAGTGCTGTTCTCTAAATTTTCAGATGGTGGTCTGCAAAACCAAAGATCTAGAACTGTTGATGTGAATGACCTGTCTTGACTAATTGTCCACTCCCTGCTTACCCTAGCTTCCAGTCCTTATCCAGCTCCTGGTCTCTCCCTGTGACTATCTGTCAGGACCTTGTGAAAATGGGGGTGTCTGGAATGGCAGAGAGTACCTCTGCCCTGAAGGCCTCCATGGCCCTTTCTGCCAGTGGCAAAGGTCCATCCTCATGAGAGGTGAGAAAGATGCAGCTCCAAGACATCTTTGGGGAGGGGTGGGGTACAGACAGGAGGGATGAGAAGCCTCATGCCCTGCCCTTTCAAGGAAGTCCCCTCATACTATCCTGTAGAATTCCTAATACTCCCTACCTTTATAACACTATTGTCACAAAGATTCTTTTCATATTTAGTCTTTTCCATCTCCTAAGCAGGAAAGAGGAGCTGGGATTGTAGTCCCACATTACATAGGAGAATAGAGTCCTACACATGTAATCGCATGTTCTAAGTGGTGAAGAGATGACAGAATGAGACCTCTAGATGCAGGATACATTCCCAGCATTCTTATACTCAGGCAACTGTAGTCTATTGAGTGGGCTATGGGGCCAAGGAGTAGGAGGAACTCACTTGGGCCACAGGGTGGCCCAGGTAGAAGTGATAGTGTGGCTAGCTCTTGAGTAAGTGTGTCTGGAGAGAACAGACAGGGGGCGAATTATCCATGGAAATACGCCTTAGCTCTCCTGTTCTTCCTGGGTCTGTGAGAACTGCTAGGATAGAGTGTGTGTGTGTGTGGGGGGGATGGTCTCACATGTAAGACATGAGGAAGAGAGACTTGTCAGACTAAGTAACAGCCAGATGACTCAAGGAGAATATGTGGTCTGCAAATCACAGAATGTGGGGAGCAAAAGGAATGTGCATGGGGCATTTGTGTGAGTACAAATGTCCTTTCAAATTTATGCCAGAGTGCCCAATAAATAGACATGTCCCAGAGTGCTGAGGGAAGAAGGTGTAGGCAATTTTGGGCAGAATATATGTATATCTGAACAGCCATACAGATTTGTCAAAATCTGTAACCATACAACTAACAATCCAAGCCATAAATCATAATCAACATCCAGAACCTCATGTAGTAACACCTTGCTCTCTAGACAAACTAGTATATTCCAGAAGGGACACAAGTCTAGATCATCACTGGTAAATTGTCTAAATATACAGATTCCTCTGATATTTCTAGTACCTCTGAAGAGAGAAGTTGTGCTTCAGTCTCACAGGTTGACCAGCTATCCGGGACAGATTGTCACTAAAATCAGTGACAAATTCACAGACCACAGCATTATCTCTGATTTTTTTTAAACCCACAGGGTCATCTGCAACCACCCTTACCAACTATGGATACACATCGACTTCCAATAACTCCGCTACCCCTTCAGCCACATCCACTTCTATGGAATCCAATGTCACCACAGCTGGTTCAATGTCATCAAATTCTACAGTCTCATTTTATACTACAAGTTCTTCTAATTCTTTGAGCCCCAGTGGATTTTCTACCACAACTTTGAACACTGGTAACAGCATGAAAACTTACACTGAATTGACTTCTGTCTTCACAACCAGTCTTGAGTTGTCCAAATCAACTGTTTCCTCTGGGACCTCCTCTACCTGGGAAGATAGTGCTGCATTCACTTCAAGCACTGGTCATCTATCTACCACTCCTACTGTCTCAGCTCAGACAGATTCAGACCTCACAGAAGGACTGACTGTGTATACAGGCACCCCTGATTTGTCCAAGCTTACAGTTACCTCAGACAGCACCGTTAGCAAAGGGGATGGAATGTCCAGGTTCAACGTAGGGCCTATGGAATCTTTTACATCAGGGACTGCTGACTCCTTTTCTACCCATGTTGATAGTGGACTAGCAACCCCATCCTTTGCTGCAAGGTCCACTTTCTACATTGCCCCCTCCGAGTTGTCCACACCAAAGTTTCTCACCCACTCTTCCCACAGCACAGATGATGCAAGTCCTGCCTCCACATCCAGCCCCGGTGAGCTCTCTATCCCCACTCTAGGTGCTGGCCAAGGGGACTCAACTCTCACAGGGGAGACCACCATCCCCAGCACTGTGCCAGCTTCATCTGAGCCCCAAGCATCATCCCCGGTTTCCCATGCCCCAGGCACTGGGAGTTCTGTGGCTCCATGGAGCCCTGGGGAAGCATCCCCCAGCCCAGCTGTCTCAGGAACACCTGCCACTGGTGTCATCCTGAAACTCACAGACCACACTATTATCTCTGATTCTTCTGCACCCACAGACACATCTGTAACCACCTTTACCAATGAGGATGGGAGTCCTGCGTCCACCTCAAGGCCCAGTGACACCATGTCCACCTCTAGCAGTTTTGGCCAAACCACCACGTCCTTTCCGGTGGCATCCACAGTCTCCACGAACCTCTCTGATTCATCAGATCCAACATTTTCACCTGACACTTCCCATACTACTGACAGGGCAAGTCCTTCATCCCCTCTGGGTCCAGGTCAAACACCTACCAGCCCTGTGGTATCTGGACAAACAGCCACCTCGACTTTCAGGAAGGAGACGACTGGCCACTCACAGATTTCAGATCTATCAAGACCCTCGGCTTCTGCTGAAACATCCTACACCAAGGCTGAAGGAGGGGCCACGTCCACTTCAAATCCTGGCCAGCAGTCTTCCTCCTCTGTGATCTCGGGACAGACAGCCACAGGCCTGACCGAGGGGCCCTCTGTCAAGACAGATACAGCCAGTGGGTCCAAACCTACCAGTACCTCAGACGGCACAGTGACCAAGGACGATGGAAATTCTGTTTCCCTTTCGGGGCCTGCTGAATCATTTACCACTCCCAGTGGTGATCCTCACACAGCCACATCTTTTCCTCCAGGATCGCCTTCCAACACCCCCACCTCAGAGGTGTCTGCCCCAACGTTTTCGCCTTACTCCTCCTACAGCACAGATGATGCAAGTCCTGCTTCCCAGTCAGGCCCTAGTGGTGTATCGACCACCACTGTGGTCTCTGAACAATCAGCCATGACCGTCACAGGGATGCCAACTGTCCACACCACTTCCGATTCACCTGAGTCCCTGGTTTCTTCCGACAGCTCCAGAACCCCAGGCCCTGGCAGTTCTGAAGCTCCATCGAGGCCAGGAGACTTCTCTACCAGCCCAGTTGGTTCGGGACCAACTGTGACCACAGTCACCCAGAAATCCACAGACCACAGCATCATCTCTGATTCTCCTCAACCTCTGGACTCATTGGCATCCCCTTATACCAAGGGTGATGGAAGTCCCGTGTCTACAGCAAGTCCCACTGAATCTTTAGCCACCTCTCCAGGTTCGGGACCATCAGCCTCACTCAGTGCTATGGAGTCTACATTCTCCTCAAGCGTCTCAGAGTCACCTGAATACACAGTGTCTTCCTATACTACAGGCTCTCCAACTCCCTCTCCCCAGGATGGATTTTCCACCACTTCCCTGACCACTGGACACAGTGCTACAGCTTCTACTGGGTTGCCCTCTGTCTTCCCAAGTGTGTCTGATTTGTCCCAAGCCACCATTGCTTCTGAAACCTCCTATACGGCGGATGACAGAAGTGCGGTGCCCTCTTCAAGTCCTGGCCAGCTGTCTACCACACTCTCTGTCTCAGCACAGACATCCTCAGGCCTCGTGGAGGGATCCAGTGCTTATCCAGGTACCCCTCACTCATCAAAACCTACAGTTATCTCAGTCAGCACCATTAGCAGAGGGGTTGGAGTTCCTGCTTCCACATCAGGGACTGCTGACTCCTTTTCTACCCATGCTGATGGCGGACAAGCAACCCCATTCCTTGGTGCAGGGTCCACTTTCTACACTGCCCCCTCCAAGCTGTCCACACCAGTGTTTCCCACCCACTCCTCCCACAGCACAGATGATGCAAGTCCTGCCTCCACATCCAGCCCCAGTGAGCTCTCTATCCCCACTCTGGGTCCTGGCCAAGCAGACTCAACTCTCAAAGGGGAGACAACCATTTTTGGCACTGTGCCAACTTCATCTGAGCCCCCAGCATCATCCCCAGTTTCCCATGCCCCAGGCACTGGGAGTTCTGGGTCTTCGTGGAGCCCAGGGGAGGCATCCCCCAGCCCAGCTGTCTCAGGAATAACTTCCAGTACAGTCCCCTTCAAGCCCACTGAGTACAGTATCCTGCCTGGTTTTTCTCAACCCACAGGCTCATCTGCAACCACCTTTACCAAAGAGGATAGAAGTTCTGTGTCCACATCAAGGTCTATTGAACCTTTTACCACTTCTGTTGGTGATGACCAAAAAACTTTTCCTCCTGGATCCACCTTGAATACAATAATCTCACCGGTGCCTACAGCTACATCTTCGTTCCACTCTTCCTACAGCACAGACAAGACTAGTCCTGGTTTTCCATCAAGCCCTAGTGAGCTCACTCACCCAAGTCTATTGTCTGAAGTAACCACACTGACTGTCACAGAGGAGTCAATTGTGTATACCAGTGTTTCTGATTTGTCCATATCTACTGTTTACTCTGAATCTTCTTTTACCCAATTTGAAGGAAGTTCTGCATCCTCTTCAGGTTCTGGCCACCTTTCTACCACCACAGGTATCTCACAACATACATCCTTAAGTCTAAGTGATGGGTCTATTGTCTATACAGGCACTCCTGACTTGTCCATACCTACAGTGATTTTGGACACGACTCTTTCCAAAGAGAGCACAAGTTCTGCTTCTACTTCAAGTTCAGGTGGAACTTTTCCCTCTACATGTGGATATCAAGAAACACCCACATCCTTTACCGTGGAATCAACTGTCTCCACAATCCTCTCAGATTCATCAAATCCAACAGTTCCACATGATACCTTCTATACTACTCATAATGCAAGTCCTTCTTCCTCATCTGGTCCTGGTGAATTAATTTCCACTACTCTGGTCTCTGGGCAAACAAGCGCATCCCTTCCTGAAGCATCCACTGTCCCCACAACCATATCTGATTTGTCTCATTCCACTGATTCAGTGGTTACCTCCTCCACCACTGTCAAGCAAAGTTTTATTTCCTCACGAAGCTCTGCTGAATCATCCTCTACCACCTCAGTCTCTGGACAAACAGCCACAATTTTCATGGGAAAGCCAACTGTCTACACCATTTCTGATTTATCTGGTTCTACAGTTTCTGTTGATACCTCCTCTACCATCCCTATTGGGGGTCCTGCACCCTCATCAAGTTCTAGCTTGTTGCCTTCCACTACCATCACAACCATCACTGAGGAATCCAGTGTCTTCACCACTACCACTTATTCCTCCAAAACAACTGATTCATCTGATGCCCCCCAAACCACTGAAGATCTTAGTCCATTATCTTCATCAAGCCCCATCCATTCCTCTTCACCCCCTGCCACCTCTGGACAAATGCCCACCACCTTGGATGAGAATTCTACTTTCTTCATCACCAATAGTGTTTCTGCCAAACCAATGATTTCTACTTCTATCCCCTCTGCCACGGACAGCCCTAGTCCTGCATCGCCATCAGCTCTAACTTTCTCCTCTACAACTAGACTTATATCCAGACCAACAGCTACCACCTTCAGTGGAGGATCTACTATCTTTCAAAGCAGCGCAGGGATACCAAATGCAACAATATCATCTAACAGCTCCCAAACCCTAGTCCCTGGTGCTTCTTCTTCAGCTTCACCTATCCCTGGCTTCTCCTCCAGGCCAGTCCCTGACTCTTCTTCAGCCCTTACAACTTCTTCTGGTTTTTCTCCTCCTCTGTCCTCCACTCCACCTGGCTCTACCCATGCTCCAGTCCCTGGGTTCACTACCTCTTCAACCCTCCATCCCCTGTTCACTAGCACACACACAACTGTGAGGACGACCCAGTCTTCAGCTATGACACCAAGTAAGTCTTTTCGTATGTCACTCTGTGTGCCTCTCCTGTCCATCTTCTCTCATCAACTAATCAGTTTTGATTTGACCTCTTTGTGGTCTTGTTCCACCCTTCCATTGCCTTCTAGTTGTCAGTCAATATCATCCACAGGAATGGTTATTGTTTTTTCTTTTCTTTTCTCTTTTGATTTGTAGGGCTTTTGCTTTCTTCACTCATCCCCTCTCATCTTTTGTTTCCTTCTTTCTCCTTGTCCCTCCTTCTTCCCCCCGACCTTGGGCTTGAGGTGGTGGCAGAGGGTTCCATCCTCCTCTTTCAGTGTAATGCATAAATGATGGGTACTGGAATGGGAGCCAGTATTTTTGTCCTTTGGGCTTCCATGGTGACTGACGTGAATTCTACCCCTTCACAGGGCAGTGTCAGAATGGGACCATATGGAACGGAGAAGAGTGTGTCTGTGTCCAAGGCTTCTTTGGTTACCAGTGCAAGTCCCTTATGGACTCCTTCCTCCTAGGTAATGAACTTTTCTGAGACCTGCAGATTGTCCCTATGCTCCTTAACCACTTAAATTGGAAGGCAAAGCTGGAAGGATTATCTGCTACCACTATCTCATTGTGCAGGTGGATGAGAAAATATGACATTTACCTAGACCCAAATGCTTAGGTAGAACACAGACCTTCTGACTCCTTCAGGGCTCTTTTCACTAGCTCCTCTGCCCCTTGGATCAAGATGTTTCTAACCCAGCCTTTTCTGGAGCCCTCCGCTTAGCTCTCTCTGGGTCATGATCCTGACCACTAACGCCTCATGGTGTTCAGAGACAAAGGGCAGAAGTTTCAGTGACTCCTACTTGCCTCCTGGATTTCCATCCACCCTCCTACCCACTTTCTCTACCTCCATGAGACCAGCAGGTAGAGAATTAACCAATCCCAGAAGACATTATTGGGAGGTTGTTATCTCATGCATAATATGGCTATTCCCACAGAAATCCCGGAAAAAGTCAATGCCACTTTAGGTGTGACAGTGAAAGTGACTAATAGGAATTTCACAAAAGCCCTGAATAACATATCCTCCCCGGTATACTGGAACTTCATTCAACTATTCGAGAGTCAGGTAAGAGAAGGAAAATCCCAGATTCCTCAATATGGATGTCCAATGTCCAATGTCACTGAGGATACAGGGGCTCATTCTGACTGACTTTGGAGTTCCTCAGCCCATGGATCCCTTCAGTCTTCTCAATTCCTGGGTGGGGGATCCTCTGAGAGCCCCCTTCCTTGAGTACCACCTCACCCACATCCTGGGGGAGGGAGCATCCCTATCTGTATACTTTTCCTTCTTTTCTATGAGCTAATTCCATGGGTTCCCTGGGGGAAGGGGGCCCTGGAACTGCCTCTGAGACAGGGAACAGGGGCTGTTGCATGCTCCAAGCCTGTATGAGCTCAGCTACCTCATTTATTTCAGATGGATAAAGCTTACATGAGCAAAGACTTTCCCCAGTACAGAGGCGTGATCATTAGGAGACTGTTGTGAGTATGTGGGGGGGGGTCAGATTTATAGACTGTGGGAAGCCCCCTCTCTCTGCTCTCTTGTCTTCTCCCATCTTGAATGAGTATCAGTACCTAGCTGGACCAGAAGGACGCCCAGCCCACAGGCAATACCAGAAGGTTCTGAGCCATTCATTTATTCATTCATTTATCCTTCATCCATTCAACAAGCTTGTACTGAAAGCCTACCTACCCTGTGGTAGGTGCAGGGAACACAATGGTCCTGGTTTTCATGGAGCAAAGAGTGGCAGAACACAGCAAAATGGCTGTGCAATATGGTTAGAGTTAATGGTAAGAGACACACAGGGTGCAATGGGAGAGGTTGAGTGCAAGCTGGTGAGGTGGAGGAAAATCTTTCTGGAAGAAATGACAGCTAAGCTGAGGCTAGAATCACGAGGGGGAACAAGCCAGGTGGAGGGAATTGATGATGAGGAGCCTAAAGGTGAGAGAGAGGAGGGTAGATTCCAGGAACATAAAGAGCAGTTGGCAGCTTGAAATCATGGTGGGAGAGGAGGTGGAAAGATGACCCGTACCAAGTTACTTAATCTTGAAGCATCAGTAGTTTTGGCCCACATGGGAAGGTATCTGATTTGCACTACAGACAGCTCAGTCTGGCTGCAGGACTGAGAATGCACGGACAGGGGATGGAGATTATAGTGACCTGGACCAGAGAGGTGACAATGCAGAAGAAAAATAGTCCAGTGTGAAAGGTCTTTAGGAAGCAAGACCAACGGATCATAGGGATTTGATGGGTGTTTGGAGAGAAGGAGGGATGACACCCGATTTCTGGGCCACTAGGGGTGTGGAGTGCCCTTTGTTGAGATGAGGAAGGTTAAGAAGGAGGGAGATGGGAAAGAAGATGGTAAGTGGGCTGTGTGGAGTCTCAAGTGCCCAGGGCCCAGCCACATTGAATGGCTGAGTAATGGAGCGGCATGTGGTGGAACATGTAATAGAAAGTATCTGCATCAGAGACACTGGAAGAAGGTTTCCCTGGATAGAAGTTGCTGGAAGCCCTGGGAGTAGACCAGATGGCCTGGGGATGGTCACAGCACAGGGACTAACATTTCCCAGGAAAGAAGCGTGGGAAGCACCAGCATCTAAGGGATAGGAAGGAGAAGCAGAGTGGCAAGATGTAGACAGAAGTGTGGGAAGGGAGCCTGGAGGGTGTCTTGTCCCAGCAGGGAAAGAGGGAGATCTTGTCAAGGGCCTGTGGGGTTCCGTGCCTCAGCGTCCTCTACCCCACCCTCACCCCCTGCCCAGTACCAGCGCTTATTTCCATCTCCATTTTGGCACAAAGTTTTGTTAGTTTTTGTCCTCCTGTGTCTTGTTCCTGACTTCTCTGTCACAATGGCTGTGACTGGTGACAGACTTTGTCTTAAGATCTCTCAGTGCCCAATTGGCCACCTAACAAGGAGCTTCTGGGTTGGAATCTTGTATTTCTAAAGCGACCTCATGTTTCTTCATTTCTAAAAGCATGCTTATTTGGTTTTCAAAATACAATCCAACAGACTCTATTTAAAATTTTTAATTTAAAATATTTTTTATTGTGGTAAAATACCCATAACATAAAGTTTGCCATTAACCATCAAATGAATCATTTTAAGTGTATAGTTCAATGACATTAAGTACATTCACATTGTTGTGCAACCACCACCACAGTCCATCTCCAGAACTTTCTCATCTTCCCAAACTGAAACTCTGTACCCTTTAAACAATAACTCTCAATTCCCCCTCAAACCACCTTGGGCAACCCCCATTCTATGTTCTGTCTCTATAAACTGGATGACTCTAGACACTTCATATCAGGACTCACGTAAATACTCATACAGGATTTGTCCTCTTGTGACTGGCTTATTTCACTTAACACAATGTCCTTAAGTTTCATCCACATTGTAGTATGTGTCAAAATTTTCTTCTTTTGTAAGATTGAATACATTGCATTGTACTGTATACCACATTTTGTCTGTCCATTCATCCATCAATGGATGCTTACTTAGTTTGCTTCCACCTTTTAGCTATTGTGAATAATGCTGCTGTGAACATGGGTGTACCAATATGTCTTCAAATCCCTGCTTTCAATTCTTTTGATCATATGGTAATTCTGTTTTTAATTTTTTAGGGAACTGCCTTACTGTTTTCCGCAATGGTTGTACCATTTGACATTCCCACCAACAGTGCCCAAGGGTTCGATCTAGCCACATCTTCAACCAAGAGCCTTCCATTTTTAGGAATGAATTTCACCCAATGGCATTTATTGTGATCACTGATATTTTGGAATCTTAGATCGTTTGACTCTGCAGCTTCCCTCCAGGATATTAACTGTTGGAGGGAAGAGTCCTCTAGTCTGTCCTGCCTCTGTGTCACATAGCTAATTGTCTCTCATCACCCCTCTTGCTTTGTGAGCCCCACTTTCTGGAAGGGTGGGAGACCCAAGGTGACTAATGAATCACCGAGTTCTGGTTCTAGGAATGGCAGTGTTGTGGTGGAACATGATGTCGTTATGGAGGCAAACTACACTTCAGATTACCAGAAACTGTTTGAGAACCTCACTAAAATCATAAAGGTCAAGATTATGAATGAGACCAAAAGGCTATCTGGTGATTCTGAAGTGTGCAGAGGTAGGCCCACACAAAACCCCTTGATGGAGGTGGGGAAAGGATGGGAGGGGTCCCATAGGGTGATCTCAGCCTCTCCCCACCCTACATCTCTCCTCTTTTCTGGAACTCCAGAGGCCTCCCTATAGGGATCCTGAAGCCAGGCCTGGGTGCCTTCCCCAGACTCTCCAGTGCCCTGAGCAGCTTTTCCCAGTCTCGGGCTCAGGTTGTCCCCAGCCCTAATGTCCCCATCTGAGCCTGCTTACAGGCCCAGCCACACCTAGGGATGGGCCAAGACCCTAGTAGAGCAGAGGGCAGTGTTTATGTCTTGTTCTTTTCCACCATGCTTAGCAGCCTCCTCACCTCTGTGTTACGATGAGGAAGCCACTATTGTGAGCAAGACTGTGAAGCTGGGCTTTGACCTGCAGGGTAAGCAGCTCCATAGGGTGGTGGACGTTGGTGGGAGGGGCAGGGTGTGGACAGTAAACGTGGGGGTTGGGGGCACTTTAACCAGGCTAATGCTTGCTGCCCACCCTTCACCCCCAGAGCAATGCACTCAGAAGGCCGCGAAGGACTATGCCCAGTTCTACTATGTGGATGAACTGGATGGGAAGCTGGCCTGTGTGACCAAGTGCACCTCGGGGACAAAGTTGCAACTGAACTGTCATGAGGGTGAATGTCAGCTGCAACGAAGAGGTCCCCACTGCCTGTGAGTGTCCAGCCCCCCTAAGGCCAGTGCCCACTCTCTCTGGTGGTAGGACTGCACTCTCCACCACAGTCATGGAGCAGGGGTGAGGAGGGGGAGGCAGAGGGGGTCAGGCAGAGCTCACAAGGTGCCTCCTCTCCCATCATCCCTCTTTGTTCTACCTGGGTGTCCCTTCACCCCTTACCCCCATCAGAGGGAGGAGGGGGTGCAGTTTACAGACGTGGGCATCCTAAGACTTGAGCAAGCCCCTTCCCAAAAAAGTTCCAGTTACCGGGCGCCTGGGTGGCTCAGTTGGTTAAGCGACCGCCTTCGGCTCAGGTCATGCTCCTGGAGTCCCGGGATCGAGTCCCACTTCAGGCTCCCTGCTCAGCGGGGGGTCTGCTTCTCCCTCTGACCCTCTTCCTTCTTGTGCTCTCTATCTCTCATTCTCTCTCTCTCAAATAAATAAATAAAATCTTTAAAAAAAAAGTTCCAGTTACCAATTTCCAAATCTATATCTATAGATCTCTATCTCTGTCTTTCCTTTTCCTATCACTATCCTAGCCACAATGCCATTATCACCTCTAGCTACAGCTGGGGCACTAAGTTCGGGAGAGCACAAATTAAAGCATAAAATATAAAATTGGTAACAGGCCAGTCAGGATGCCAGCTAGAGATTAGATGGGTGGACATCAAGTGTCTGGGATGAGGCATCCAACACTCAGATTCTGAAGCCTGCTCTGTAGTAGGGGACCCCCCACCCCCTCACTGCCCCTTAAGTGCTAGGGAGCCTCCTAACCTGGGTCCCTCCGAACCAGTGCCTGCCCCCTTGGAGGGAGAGCCAGTTTCCTGTGCTTTGGCATTCATCTTTTTTTTCTTTTGGGAGAGTGGGTGTGAGGGATGCTAGTGGATTGGCCTGATCTTGCCTGTGTCCCCAGATGCCCGACCTCGGACACACACTGGTACTGGGGAGAGACTTGTGCCTTGAGCACCAGCAAGAGCCTGGTGTACGGAAGTGTGGGAGCTGTGGGAGCAGTGCTGGTGGTCACGGTGGTGGTCCTCACCATCTTCCTCTGCCGATCCCAGAGAAAACTGCACAGGTGAGCTTCTGGGGCTGGGCCCAGAGATGGGGGACCACAGTTGGAACATCCCAAGGCTCTGCTCCTTCTAGCTCAGCATTCGGAGGCCTGATGGCAACCCAGCCCCTCTCAGCTCTGGGTAACAGCAAAAGGCAGCCTGCTGATCTGATCTGATCTGTTTGGCAGAGAAATGCATCCAAAAACTTGGGTCCTGAAATTGGATTCTGTAAAGACATTACTTGGTGTTAAGTAGCACCTTGGACTGTCAGAGGGAGTTGCTCTGGGCCTGGTCCAATGCTCCCATCTCATAGATAAGGGAAGGAGGGCCACTGAGGGAAGGGCAGGCAGGTCACAGTGATGTTGTTTCATTTTCTGCTACTGCCCTGGGGAGAGGCCCTTCCCTGACTCAGGGCTTGGCCGTGACAGCCCTTTCCAGAAGCCAAGGGTTAGGGCCCTCTAGGCCCCCTCCTCCACCTCCCTGCCCCCAACTGTTAATGGCGTTTCTATTGGCAGGGAAGAATACAGCTTGTCTCAAGAGTGGCACGGAGAAGATGTTCCTGGCAGCTTCCAGAACATAGGCATCTGGGGCGGTACTTCTCACTGGGAGCAAGCTGGTGGGTCAAGAAAGGCCGAGAAAATGCTATGGCCAGACTCAGTGTGGCCGTGGGTGCTAGCTGGCTTTGTGTGTGCTGTGGATGCCAGGCTCTGCCGGCTTCTCTGTGGCCTCCTGACCCCGAGCCCCCACGCAGCCCCTGCCAAGCCTCGTCTTTTCTCGGCTCCTCTCTATCACTCCCGTCTGCACGTGGCCCACACTCACCGTTTCCCTCTTCCATGCCAGACTGTACCACTGTCTGGAAGGTTCCCCTTGCTGGGGGCTCTGCCTGTCCCAATCCTGCTCTGTTTCCAAGATCTGGTTCAAATACTCCCCCTCCTTAGAGCCTCCCGTGTGTTCGGGCTCTTCTGATTCCCACCTGGCGTGGAAAACCTCCATGTCACATCTGCTCTGATCTCTCACTGAACGGAGATGAACGATCTCTGTCCCCCACCATCCCTGCGCTGGGGCAGGTTCTGCCTTACCAGTTCCTCCTGGCAAACACCATGGAGGGGCTACAGGCATGGCTGAGAGCCGGATCCTGCCCCCAGAGAGCGGCCCCTGTGAGAGCATCAGATGCACACACCGTTAGTGGGAGGACAGAACCATGCCCTGGGCTCCAGGGGCATAGAAGGTTGCCCGAACCAGCCAGGGTGGGCTGGGATCAGAAAAGCCTGCAGAGGGGGACATCACCTGAGCCTGTCTGCAGGCTGGGGCAGTGCTGCGAGCTGGTGAGTAAGCCGTGTGCTTCCTGCTTCCAGAGACACAGGTCCCAGTGAGGTCATGGAGGTCTCTGTGGGCTGTGATGGGGAGGGGGACCCACCGGAGGGGCTTTAAGAGAGGGAGGCCAGACATGCATTTTGAGCAGCTCACTCAGGTGGACTTGAGGGGGACCTCAAGTGGGGAGACCAAGGAGAAGCCTCTGCAGTCATGCAGGGGAAGGAGGATGAGGCTGAGTAGGGGTAGTAAGGATGGGAGGAGTGGACAGACCCCAGGGAGCTGGGCGGGGCTTGTCCCTCACAGGCTGGGGAAGGGAGAAGGTCCGGATGTGGGGGGGCACTACCTGGAGGGGGCAGAGGCAGCAGGTGGGGGACAGAGCTGAGTACGGGGAGGGGTGTTGGCCAGTGGGCAGCTGGGAGCATGCAGGCAGGGGAGAGAGCAGGATGAAGGGCAGAGTCCCTGGGACAACCTTGGAGGAAGCAGAGAAGAAACGGTCATGGAGGCTGAGGAGGGAGGCAGGTGCAGGACTCGGAAAATGGCTGCTGAAAACACGCCAGCTATAAGAGAAGATTCTGGGTATAGTTTCTGCTTGCTGCGGTTCCCGTTGCTGGAGGGAGTGTGTGCTGGTGACCCCTGAGCAGTACCTTCCTCCTGTTCCACCCTCGCCCAGGTCACCCCCAAGCCTGCCCATGGCCATGACTTTTGACCCCGAGGCACGCAAGGGGCTGTGGTTCGCTCCTGTCCTCTCGTCACACCGGGCCAGTTCCCCGGGCACGCTCCGGAGCGACCTCATAGACTAGCTGCAGGGGTGGGAGGATGGATGGGCAGTGGGAGATGCTTTCGGGAAAATATGGGACTGACTCTTCAAACCTGTCCCTCTTACTGGAAAAGGCCCCCGTCTGTGTCTCTCCAGCCTCCCCCAGGCTCACTCAGCCTGGCCCCTCTTTCTGCAGGTGAGAATCTGAAGAAGAACCCATTCAGCCTTAAAAACATCTACAGCCAGTTTCGGCCCTCCCTAGAGAATGTTGACCCTACCACAGAGGTGACTGGGAGCCCTTCCCCGGCTAGGAGCTGTTCCCTTCCCCCCAGCCATGCCACCCACCACCCTGGGGCTACCTGGGGAGGGTGGGCACCCTTGGTCTGGAGACAGCTAACTTCCATGGGATATGGCCATTGCTGAAGGGCCCCCGTTGGCCTCACCTCCTCTCTCCGCGCCCCGCCCCAGCTCCACATCCAGAGGCCCAGGGTGGTGACAACTGCTCAGTAAGCGAGGCAGGGGCTTCTGCCCCTCATCCAGATTTGGACAAGACAGCGGCAGACAGAGAGCCCACCACAGTGCTACTCCCCCACCTCCCCCGTTGGTCAAAAGGAAACAGACGTCAGAGCCCAAGGTGGTCCTGCTCAGGCTGGTGGGCTTGGCCGGGCCCCTGCTGTGCACCCGCCTCTCCTCCATCGCCCTCTATCCAGGGGCCCCAGGGCTGCCCAGACACCCCAACATCTTTGCTCCATTGACTCACCACTCTGGAATTTGCCTCCCAATAAAAGAGCAAGGTTTAAAGTACAGAGCTGTGAGTGGTTTCTTTTTCTCTCCCTGCGGGGGCCTGGCTCCCCACCTGGGGCTCCAGGGAGCCCTTCTTGGGGAGAGCACTCCTCCCAGGATTAGATGCCAAATCTGGACATGGGACACTCGCCACTCTCAGTCCCTTCCTGTGACTGCATGTCGAGCAAGGAACATGGACCCCCTTCTTCTGCTCCAGGCTGGGGCAGGATCAGGCCCACCTCTGCCTGAGGTCACCGTGGAAGATGAGCCTGGGATCAGACCTTGGGGGCCTCAGACCCAGGGAGTGAGGAGTGGGGGCCCAGAGAAGGCTAAGGAGTGAGCCCTCAGCTTTGCTGACCTTGGGCGGGGGCAAGGTGCCTCCGGATGGCCGTGGAAGCTTGTGCCCACCTGTGAACTCAGAGATAGATCTCTGGGCCCATAGATCCAAGAAAGCAGCCACCCCAGAGCTGGGCACTGGCCCAGGTGTGGCCATGATTTGAATCCTGGTGGGGTACACACAGGGCCAGTAAAGAGAGCTTGACACAAAGGGAGGGGAGTGTCCTTACCGGAGGCTGGAATTGAACAACAGGCGCCCTTCTCCTCTGGGGTTCAGGCCCAGCTGCTTCTCCTCCACCCTCTGAGTCCCTCCAGGGGTCTTCTCCGTTCTCCCAGGCTGCTCAGGCCCCTGTGCCTGCCCCTCTATTGGGGTGAAAATTCTGATGGCCCGCGTGCTTGTTGTGTGCTGCCTGGAGAGGGAAGAGCTCCCCTCCCTCTGCCCTTTGGCCCAAAATAAAATCCACACCCTCCCCTCCCTCAGCATGAGAGAAGCTCATTCACTGACTCAGGTGGGCTGGCCCCGGTTCTCCAGTGTCTCAGGGATCAAAGGGCTCTGGGGCCCATTTATTACTGGGGTTCCTTGGCTGACATTCATTTTGCTCATTCTGGCGAGAGTGAACAGCAGGTGCACTGTCCTCTGAGCTCTGATGTTGAGACTGGTGACCAGGATGCTCTGCCTGCTGCCCCTTGTCCTTCAGCTCCTGTCCCGCCCTGTGGCTGCTGCGCACGGTGAGTGAACCCTGGCCTTGCCTCCTCTCCTGGGTCTGCCCAGGCCCAAGGGAAGGCTGCTTCCTGGGGGGCACAGGTGGGGGTATCCTCTGCCTGGAGCTCAGCCTCGTGCCCCTCACCTTCTCCTTCCCTTCCCGGCTACATGTGGTTTTGGGGTGCATCCAGGTTAGTCTCTCTGAGCCTGCTTCCTCCCTAAAAGGAGACAAGAGGTGAGGCTTGCCAGGGCCGGAGGATTCGATGCAATACTCCCCGCACGACCCCTGGCATATGGCAGATAGATGCTCGGCTGATGTTAGGATCTGTCCTTACCCCTTGGGTATGCCCTCCAACCGCCTGGTCACCTCCCACCAAATGTCCAGGCCTTCTTTTCATGACGGGACAAATGCTTGAAGTCTCTGCTCTCACTCTCATCCTGGCCATTTCTGCATCACCCCACCCCTGCCTTGTGCCCCGAGGATGTCCCATGGGCTGTCAGGCATCCCAGTACCAGGAAAGGGGCCACTGCTGTAGCCAGATGGGCACAAGATGGGGCTTTGGGAGCCCCAGATTCTAATCCTGCAGTGAAACAGCTCTGTGCCAGGGGGCAACTCAGTTCATTCAGGCCTCAGTGTCTTCCCTTAAAGGACATGGGTTGGGCCCACTAGGGGTTCCTTGGCCAAGGGGACTGGGCTCAGGTTGGCAGAGGATGACAGGGGGTACTGATCAGACCCTTCAGGAGTTCCCTCTGCCACTCGCCTGTCCCCAGAGAGAGAGGGAAGGGAAAAGCCAGGAACTAAACTGCCAGCCTCAGGTTCTCCCTCCCTGAGACGTCCTCCTGGGATGGCCTGGCTGGGGTGGGAAGGGGACTTGGAGGCAAAAGTGGGGGGGGTGGCTGATGCTGAGCAGGTAGATGGCATTCAAGTTGCCATGTCCTGGGCTTTGTCTTGCCCTGAGCTCACTACACCAGGAGCAGTAGGGGGGCTCCTGGTGCCCTGGCCCCAGACCTTGGGCCACCCTTCTCCGAAGAGGGAATGGGGTGGGAGCAGGGGAGAAAGTACCTGTGAGCATAATCCTGGAGCCTGTGGCCTCTTTGGCCCAAACCCACCCACAAAAGGTAGGGCCTTCTCTAGGGACCAGCCTGATGGCTGATGGGGCAAATGAAGAGGATGAGAGCAGGAAGGGGTGGCGGCAGTCTGGGGCAGGGTGGGGCAGTGCTTGGCTTGGTCTAAAGGGCTGGTTCACTGACCTGAACCTGACCATGACTTGGCACAGACTCCCAATGTGACAGCACCCGGAGCTGTCACCTTATTAGTAATAAGAATGACACCCTCAGAAGAATGAATACCTACCATTTACTTCGACCTGGACGGAACTGGAGGGTATTATGCTAAGTGAAATGAGTCAATCAGAGAAAGGCAATTATCATATGATCTCACTCGTATGTCGAATATAAGAAATAGTGCAGAGGATCATAGGGGAAGAAAGGGAAAATTGAATAGGAAGAAATCCGAGAAGGAGACAAACCATGACAGACTCTTGACTCTGGGAAACAAACTGAGGTTTGTGGAAGGGAGGGGGGTGGGCGGATGGGGTAACCGGGTGATGGGCATTAAGGAGGGCACGTGATGTGATGAGCCCTGGTTGTTATACACAACTAATGAACACAACATCAAAAACTAATGCTGTGTTATATGTTGGCTAATTGAATTAAAAAAAAAAAAGAGTGACACCCTCTTCCCAGGCACTGTCTACACTGTCCAGATTCTTAGTGACTTACCTCTAATAATGTCATTTTAGGCACCGTGATGTGCCTTGGTTGGGGAAGATGTTTCCAGCTCCCTTTCGTTCCTCCCCCCGCCCCCTCCTGGCCTCTCCCACATTCTGCACGCGATGGCTCATTGCATCTCTAGGCTCGGTCGCCCCTTCAGTGAAATGGAGCCTCTTTGCTCCCGCTTTCTAGGATTCTGTGGTCCCCTTTCTGCGTCGGGCATCAGCTGGTCTGTAGAGCTTTGGCATCTGACTCTCCCATGTGTCCTCTCTGGGGACCCAGAGCCACATCCCTTCTCAGGCTACTGGGCTGGGGATGCCTGAGTGGGGCGTGGGCTGCAAGGAAGAGCCTGGTGGCCTTCACCTGGCTCTTCCTGGCAGGCACACCCTCCCATGGCCACAGCCCCTCCTTCCAATACACCCTGATTATATTGCTTATCAGTGAAACACAACATCCTGGGCCCAGTTTGGTCCTGTCCAGCTGTGGCAAGTGCCTCTCACCTCCCACACCCAGCACAAATGTGTCAGGCTTGAGTGCTCAGTCATCCCCCTCTGCCCTCTCTCCCACTCCCCATCCTGAGTGCCTTCACCCACCCATGTCCTCATCACCATCCTAATGTCAGCCTCCTGAGGGAGTCTAAGGAACATACACTCTAGAGGCTAGCTTCCCCCCCTCCTCCGTCAACAAGGTCTACCTCCTCTGAGGAGCCTTCCTGGGGGTCACCACAGACTTCTCTCCCCTTGAACCCATTGCTGCAACTACAAGAGACTGGAAAGAGTCTCACTCCCTGGACCACCATAATAAATTAGCGCAACCCGAGTGGCTTAGAACAATAGGAAAAATCTTGTCTCACGGTTCTGGATGACAGAAGTCCAAAACCAAGGTGTCAGCAGGTGGTAGGGAAGGAAGGATCTGTCCAGGCCTCTCCCTTGGCATCTGGTAGCTGCTGCCAAGCTTGGCATTCCTTGCCTTGCAAGCACATCATCTGTGCCTTCATCTTTCCCCGGGGTTCTCTGTGTGCGCATGTTCCTGTATCCAAATTTCCCTTCTTATAAGGACACCGGTTGTTTTGGATCAGGGCCCACTCTACTCCAGTGGTGACCTCATCTTATGTAATTACATCTGCAACAACCCTACTTCTGGATGTCATGTTCTGTGGTCCTAGGGGTTAGGACTTTACCATACGAATCTGGGGAGGGGGACACAATCCAACCCCTCCCAGGGGCCCCTGGGGGGTGGTTGAAGCACAGAAGTAACCCCACACATGTGTTATGAAGGGATCCCTCTAGCTGCAGTGTGTAGGATTGCTTGGCTTGGAGGTCCGGGTGGGAAGTGGGGAGATGGGGCAGGAGGTTGGGTGAGAGTCCACAGCAGCGCTGACCCGGTGGTTTCGGGAGCCACGGCAAGAAGTGGATACGTCCGGGATACCAGCAGGCCTGGCTGATGGCACAGCTGATGGGAGGCGAGCGGGAAAGAGAAGCAGAGTGCCTTCCAAGGGGCTGGGCTTCAGCAATTGGTAGAAGGCTGCTTGCTCCGAGGGGTCTAGCAAAGAACTCAGGAGAGTTTTAGACAGAGTCTGGGACGTCTACTTAATATCACCTGAAGATGTCAAGTCAAAATGGAAATCAGCTTGCCTTTGGGGGTTGGGGGGGCAGAGCAAGAGACACACACGGTGTGGAGGGCTGTATTTCCTAGGACTGAAGCAAGATCTTCCTGAGTTCTCTGTCCCATGCCCTGAGAATTACAGGTTTTTCCATTTTGGCTGGTGGGAACAGCACTGCTCCCATCCCTACATGAGAGCCAGGTCTCCTTCCTTCCAATCTTTTCCAGTGGCACTTCTCGGATCTTGGGGAGATGTTTCATAAGCATGCTCTGATCAGTAGATTGCATGGTGGATACCCAGGGGTCCCTCTGTGCAAGTCCGCCTCCCCAGTAATTCTGTCCTGTGAACTCTAGCTGCCTTGGTCTCTCAAGACCATGACGTGCATCTCCTCAACCCAGGAGATCTGCTGGGCTCCAGTTACGTTCTCCCTCCAGGCACTCTGCCTGGAAGCCCTCTCACATCAGTAAGCTAGGATCATCACAGGGCTCACCTTGTTTGTTTTCTTGTTTGTCTCTCAGGAACCATAGTCCTCTGTTGCCTGACATCCAGTGTATTGACAATCATCATTTCATATCTTTTGTATGGTGATGTGGTTATCTGGGGGCTGGGTGTGGTTTCAGGTGGGAGGGTGAATTCTGATCCCTGACACTCCATCTTGGCCAGAAGCAGAAGTATAATGCTTTGATAGGGGCCTTTGACTAGTGTGTAATCTATTATACATACACGGCCAATTAAATCACTTTCAACATTTCAAGTTACATTTATAAAATTAATACATTACATTTCCTATTGAAAGACTTCAGTGGTTTGATTAATAACAAAACCTTTCCAAGTATTCAAGAGACTCCATAAATCTAATACAGTAAATATAAATTTTTTAAAACTTCCCCCAAACCTTCAAGTCTAATACATTGGAAGTACCCAAGTGGTGGATCTTAAGTTCTCTTAAATGGTCTCATACTGTTTACAACCTTAGCAAGGTTTCAAGGTAAAATGACAAGTCTAAATCAATCGTTTAGTTACATATTATAAATTGAAACTACAAGGTTTGCACATTAGGCCAAATTCTCTTGAACATTACAAATATCTTAAATCCCAAGTGCGAAGAGATTATGTAATACGAAGGGTTTAAATTTCTTAAAGTGGGTTTAAATTTCTTAAAGATAATTAGAGTAAATGTATCTGCTCCAAGAGCTTAAATGAAGCTCTTTCCCTTATTAGTTAGGATATTTTTGTATCTGCTATAACAAATATGACCCAAGTGTATAATTGCTCAGCCAGAAAAGAAGATTTTTTTTCTTGCTCATGTAATAATACAAGGCAGACTTTCCTGGTTGGCAGGTAGCTTTCCTTCATGTGGTGATTCAGGGATGTAGGTTCCTTCTTCCTGAGGCTTCACTATTCTCTTGGGCCTCCTTGCCATCTGCCTCCAGTTGGCAGAGCAATAAGGACCACCACAGGAAGTTTCTGGGCTGGCCTGGAAGTGGCATGCTCACTTGTGCTCCCGTTCCATTGGAAGGAGTTAGTGACATGTGAATACTTACTTTCTTGAAATCTGACTCCTGAACTGGGCAGGAGCTCCCTTTCCTACTGTTGTATAACCTGATGTTGTCCCAACGTCTCAAAATCTTCAAGACCTCATCCCCCAAA